AAATTTGAGATTGCGAGAGTGGGGGAAAGGGCATAAACCTTATCACCTACAAAGCGAAATCTACTGAGTGTTTAGCAAGTTTATTTGATCCTCTCGGAATAGTTAGTCCAGTGATTGTATGTGCCAAAATATTGTTCCAAGAAGTATGTAAGGATAAAGTCGATTGGTATGAAAACTTCACTGAGGAGTTACTGCATAAGTGGGAGGGTTGGTACAGGGATTTGATAGAAACTAAGGAAATTACCATTGCTCGCTGTATATATCAACATCGTGCAGAAGATGTTTTGGAGTGTACCTTACATGGATTTGGCGATGCGAGCAAGAAAGCATACTGTGCAGTTGTATATTTTGTGTATTGTACTAATGTAGGGGTTTATGTCTGCTTATTGACATCAAAGGAAAGAGTAGCTCCCTTATAAGCAACTAGTATTCCCAGGTTAGAGTTAACGTCAACGAGGCTGTTAGCGCAGATTATGAAGTCAGTAAAAGCGTCACTTGAAAACCAAGTTAGGATAGATAGTACCAAGTTTTGGCTTGACAGCATTACAGCACTCTACTGGATAATGAATAGGGGTGAATGGAAACAATTTGTCCACCACCGAGTAAATGAGATCTTGAAGCTAACGAACAAAGGGGATTGGGAGCATTGATCCGGGGTTGAAAATCCTGCTGACATTGGGTCTAGAGGTGTAATTGCTTCACAATTGAAAGATAACAAGCTATGGTGGGTGGGGCCAGATTGGCTAACTAAGTCAAAAGAGGAGTGGCCAAAATTTGAGGCTACTGATAAGACAAAGACAGTTTTGGAAGAGGAACGAAAGTCTGTAGTTATGGTTAATTGTAAAGGTGACAGAGCCAGCTACTGTAGTATAAGTAGAGTGATTGACTTGAATGATTATGGGACAGCAGAACGACTATTTGGGGTAACAGCTTGGGTACTCTGGTTTGGGTTTAATGTACGAGCAAAAGCAAGGGGCATTGATAGGCGAAGTGGAGAGTTGACAGTGAATGAGTTAGTTGAGGCAGAGAATATAAGGATTAAACAGGCTCAGGCAGGGTTGAAAGTAGATAGAAAGTACACCCAACTGAGTAATAGTTTAGGTTTGATGGAAGAGGAAGGCATTCTGAGATGTAAAGGTAGATTACATAATTCTGAGTTAGAGTTCAATACCAAACACCCAATCATTATACCCAATGACCACAGACTGACTGAATTGATTGTCCAAAAATGTCACAGTGAAGTGCATCATTGTGGTGTACGGGCAACCTTAGGAAGATTAAGGACAAAATATTGGGTTGTGAAAGGAAGACAAATGGTGAAGCGGATTTTAGGTAGATGCTTCACCTGTAAAAGATTAGAGGGAAAAGCATATAGTGTAGCACAGACGGCAGATTTGCCAGGATTTCCAGTTAGGGAAGCTGCACCCTTTTCTAATGTGGGAATAGATTTTGCAGGTCCATTGTTTGTAAAGTGTTGTGCAAAATGTCCAAGTAAGGTTTATATAGCATTGTTTTCTTGTTGTGTGACTAGAGCTATACATTTGGAGCTAGTTAGGGATTTATCTGCAGAGACATTTTTGTGCTGTCTACGGAGATTTGCTGCTAAGAGAGGAATGCCAAGCCTTATAGTATCTGACAATGCCAAAACGTTTAAGGCAGCAGAAAGGGCAGTTAGACGGTTGTTTAACCAACCTAAGGTGAAGGCGGAATTGCAAACCAAACGAGTAACATGGAGGTTTAATTTAGAAAGAGAGCCTTGGTGGGGAGGATTTTTTGAGAGAATGGTTCGCAGTGTTAAACGGTGTCTTAGAAAGGTTCTAGGTAATGCTAAATTGACAGTAGATGAACTTACCACAGTGCTTGTAGAGATCGAGGGTACATTAAATGCTAGACCATTAACAGGTGAGTATGAAGAGTGTGAAGGAGAGGTTTTGACACCGTCACATCTAATTTATGGTAGAGCTATTAGCTTCATACCACAGAAGGAAGTAGTTAGAGAGGAACGTAGCTGTGGAGAAAGATTTAAGTATATTACGTTGAAATTACAACATTTCTGGAAGAGGTGGCAAAGTGAGTACCTGACAGGGTTGAGAGGATTTCATAAATGTAAGAATCAAAATGCGAGAAAGAGTGTGAAGAAGGGAGATGTAGTGACAGTGTATGGAGAGGGAGAGAAACGAGGTAATTGGAAATTAGGGAAAGTAGAAGACCTAATTATAGGAAAGACAAGGAAATTAGAGGAGCCAAAGTAAGAGTTGCAGGGAAGGGTAGACCAGTTTACCTGAAAAGACCGGTCCACAAACTTTACCCGTTAGAGACTCAAGCTCGACCGGGTGGGAAAGGGAAGGAAGGGAATTCCCCTTCGGCTGAGTCAGAAGGTTCCTTGCATGATTTGCATGAGCGTCCAAGACGAGCTTCTGCTGTTATTTCCAAAGCGAAGACAAGGGCGATGCTTTATTCATAGATGAATCCTTTATGAATCAAGGTGGGTGGGGTGTTGTAAGTTCCCAGCGCAGTGCCGCCAGTTTTTCGCACAGCAGTTGCTTCTGCTACTTAATATACAAATATGTATATAGTATTGTTTAAAATACGTCATAGTGATTCATTGTAATTTAATACCAACATTGATTGAGGCAAATATGTAAATTCAGCTGTGATCAGATCGTAGCGAGACGAGGAAGTCTAAAATCGCGTTGTAAATAGATAATCTTTCCAATAAAATAAATCGATAGAATACAGTCCCCTGAATGTTATTGTGTGTGAACCAGTGTGCGCGGAGATCAAAGTGAAGATTCTGCAAAAAATATTGACTAACATAGATAATGAGTTATATATTGTCATTCTAATGAGTTTCCAAATCATCTCCTCTATTAACTATAGCAAAACTCATGTAGTTTTTGGACCGTCATCTTGTTTCTCGCTACTCGCCGTATATGAGCTGACATACGGCGAGTAATTCAACCAATAAGATTGCAGAACTGCCCATATACGGTGAATGACTATATTATAAAACTATATATCCTGGATGGGGTGCTCCCTTCTTCATCCACCTTGATTTCTGCAACTGAATGTGATTGCCAAGAACACCAGGTGCTTTACATCCCCCTTCCCATATCCCATACTATATTGTCTTATAATCAACAAAACCATATGTCATAATGAGATCTTATTTATAGCACACAATGTAGAAAACTAACATACCATTCTGTTTATTGAATTTTCTTCCACAACAAAACATTATTGCACGGATCTGGTATGCTGAATTATATCATTCTATTCAAGAACTATATGCATCGATTATACTTCTAATTTCCATACTTGTCATCATTTGTTACTGATGAATGACCTTTAATATATAACCTATTTTATATATTTACTTGGCATAAACAGTTGATTTGTGTGCCATCAACCCTGACTATGACATTTTCTAAAATGAAATAGATCAATTATAAACAGCAGAAATATTGATATTATGTATCAATTATGGTTTAAAAAGGCTTTCAAAACTCTGCAAGTGTATATTGGCACCAACTGTTATCCTGACAACTTCTATGCATTATATGAGTTTATTATACAACTTCTATGCATTATATCCTTCTATGAGTTTATTATATAAAAATAATCAATTAAAGTTTTTAAAATAAATTAAAGTTTATTAAAGTTTTTTAAAGTTTATTATTTTTTTAGTTTATTAATGAATTTATTAGCGATTCCCAGCAGCCTTTCGCGCTTGTATTCGACTTTTCCGCTTTGCTCGGGGGACAACCTTAATTGAAATAGCTGTATACATGTCGCTAAATAAGGCATTAAGGTCGACACACACCGGAAATGGTTTTTCGCGCGGCGTAGTCGAATCGCGTCCGGTGTGTCTGGGCCTTTAGGCGCAATTGTATATCAATTATTACATTATTCTGATATTTATCGGTTTTAGGGGCTGATTACATGTACAGTTTTCAGCCCTGGCTGAGCTTCATCCCCGTTTCCCGGGCTGAAATTTCAACCCTGCCTAAGGATAAAATCCTATTAAAACGATTACGGCAAACGATTACATGACAGAAATTTCAGTCCAGGACGATTTTCAGCCCGGGTTGAACAGTTTAGCGAAGTTGAAGCTACCCGGGCTGAAAATCGTCATGTAATCCCCGGGAAATTTCACTACCTAGATTAAAAAAACATTAGCGTTTTGTTATTAAAGTAGCTTTAGTTCCATCTGTTCTATTTTTAAATGCAACCACAATCTCGCAGAAGTCAAATAATAGACATGAACAACATTATTACATTATTTCACTCAAAAGTTATCAGTTGACGGTCACTTGCGAATGGTGACTTCAAACAGCCAACAGTTGAAGTTTGCGATTTGCGGTCTGCCGTAAACTTCAATCTTAACGTCTAGTAACTACCCAGAGACATTTGTCGATCGGTTGACATTGGTGCTTTTCATTCAGGACCTCGTAAGCAGCATTCGAATCTCAATTTTTGGAACGAACGACATGATGTTTGTCAGTATTAGCCTTGGAATAAAATTATTGAGAGCATTTGGTTTCTGAAAGCTAGAACTTGAGGATGTTAAACTTTACGTGCACGTAATGTAATGTAAATAAAATGATTACTTGATTAATCGAGATTGCTCTTTTGCAGAAAAAAGTATTAGGGAGACATAAAGTCAATAACAACGATCGTCACGCTCTCTTGAAATGTCGGATCAAAAGATTCGATTGACGAATATGACCGAGGCTTTTTATCACAGGCAACGGTTGACAAAAAATATTTTAGTTCTGCTCACCTCATTATCACCTGACCGCTTTGTAGGTTTATTCGAATCCATGCCCAAATTCATCAAAATCATCTACCACGTTGTATGCACTGTTTATGGAGTGAAGTGTGGCGTGAGTGAGTGAAATATTTGCGGTTTCCTGAGGGATGTGTGCGCACGTAATATTACGTAAATAACTAATTAGAAGAAGTAAACGTCACGCAAACCTTTAATATAAATTACCCTACTTTAACCAAATATATTGTTCTGCATGTTGTATAGTATGTTAATATACGAATCAAGCAGTGTGCTCGGCACGTTACAAATTAATTTGCGGCAGCGGTGGGATGAACATGGCTGTTTCAAGGTCGCTTGCACAAGTCTGTCTTGCAATGTTAATCTGGTGAGTTGCGGTAAAAGACGAGAAGACTGGCACGAAGAAGAAACTGGTCCAGCAAAATTTGAAATTGATTAATAGATTCGAAGCCAAAGATTTGATCGACATGGCGTTCATGAAGTGCTGTCAAGAGAAAATCGGAGAAATAGTGTCGAGACGAAGATCCAGATCCTCGGCTTGGTCGACCATATTCGGTCAAGATATAATTGAGTCTGAAATCCCGGCAAACTTCAAAGCCACAATATATAAGGTCTTTTTTTCACGATTAAATCCACTCACAGAGCACAAAATTATTTGTCTCAAACTCATTAATTGGGTCGATTTCAGGTTTTGCCGAACGTTAACGATGAATGTTGTCAAGTTGACGATGTCTTCGGTCCGATTAGTTGTTGTGTGTAAACGTATATCTTAAGCTAGTGTGGGGTCTTGCATATAGAAATACCCTGTAAAAGAAAGGATGAAATACCCTATAAGTGATATGATGAGTATTTGCATGCCAAGAGAAATAGTGTAGAGTAATTAAGGATCGAATAATCATTACCTGTTTTGAGCGGTACATAAATCATCACGGAAGGGCAGGAAACCATTGTTATCCACATCGTGGCGCTCTGGTTGTGCAATACGTAAAATCAAATTTGATTTAATTTAGAAAATATTTATAACTTAAAGTCGCAAGTCGAGAATAACCGACTCACTCAGCCAATCCTCGTCACTGAATTTGTCAAGCGCTGGGTGGCGGGCTTTGAAGCTCATGGAGTTATGCTCATATGAGTTTATTACTAACGCCAGTACTCTAGATCTATGTACTAAGCGATCCTTCAGTGATCAGACTCTCTTCACAGATCTGACCAATTATAACTCTATAATATAGCGTGCAGTGATCTGACAAAAAATATTATCACATGAGATAATTAATTACACCAATCATTGTATTAATTAAAATAATGATTTGTTACACATTTTTGACATTCCCCGTATAATATTGTCCCAAAAGTTCCTCTTTGAAGAGAGTTGCCTAAAAATATAGTCTGTCAAGATATAATATATAGTCTGGACGCCCGGCCAACTTCAAAGCCACAATGTAAAAGGCCTTTGTTTGATGTTGAACTACCTCACCATACACAAATTCTTTGTCTCAACTCACTAAATATTATTAATCGTGGTTGCACGATTCATCTCGGCTATCCCTATTGGAGGATTACTTCATTATACGAAAACATTATGAGCTTAATCACCGTGACCTTCTACAAATTAACATAAACCCAGACAAAAACATGACACAATGACTTCGGTTTAGTTTCCAGACCATCATTAAAGTTCTATAACCTTGTCTTTCTTCGATTGCAACAACGCACTATGATAACGGTAACTAAGTAGTAAGTAAACCTCTTATAATAACATCTTCACTAGCTAGCTTTGATCTCTAATGATACATATAATTATATTTACATGAGAGTTGCTTGTCACGCAATCTTTGTATTAATGAAGTGTACGTTTTTTACACTATCGTGCATTATATTTACGTTCAAACGTAGTTATATACAACACTCATTAAAATTATTAAACTACTTCAAACTTTACACCTTTAACCAATACCTTACACCTGCAACTAACCCCTATGCCACACGCAACTTCGACCCTAACAACTATAACATAATCGTCTCCAATAATCAAGAATTCTTCCGACAATCCTATTTCCCACGCACTGTCATTCTCTGGAACAATCTACCACCGAACATCACAGCCGCCCATTCCCTACAGATCTTCAAGCACGATCTACAATCTTATTACAAAGCCAAACTGTTTACCTACATACCACCATAGTTAATCTTGTTCTATAATTCGTTGTACAGTATCCTATATGTTAAGTTCCATGTAATCTGAGATATGTTCGTGCATAATTGTCCTAGTACGTCTCGTTATCCATTAATTGTTAAGGGGTCGAATATCAATTGGAATTTAGTTTCTGTTTTCTTCTCCTGTCGCAGCATTCTCTAGTTATTGTTATTGTTATCTCTACGTAAATGTATATCTTTAATGTGTGTGACAAAATGAATAAATAAATAAATAAATAAATAAATAAATAAATATGGGCGGCATCTACAAACGTGTTTAAAGTAAGAACAAATTAACCTCTACAATATAAACAACGCCAAATGTGTACGTTTAATTAAACGTAACCAAATCTGTTGAGAAACGTTTGCAGTTGACGGTTACTTGTAAATTGTCGTCTTGTAAAGCCCGAGACATTTGTCATTTGGTTAAAATTCGTGATTTCAGGATCTTATATAAGCAACATTCGAATTTAAAAGTAAAACGCGAATGCGGAAGGACAGACGGCGGACGGACATATGGACGAGAGGGTAAATGCGGACGGACTTGCGGATGAGATATTATAAATGGGCATATGAGGTTAAAATGCGAATATAAGGGTAACCCAGATGCGTAAAGATTCTTGTGAACGTTTCCATGTCTAGAAAAATATACCAGTTTGATATCTTCAGAAGTTCAGGGGAGATTGAATTTTAAAAACTCTGAAATACTATTGTATGTCAAACATTTACTTCTGATGTAGGGAAACGTAACTGTATTTATCTCGTCAATCGTCATCTTTGTTTGCTGCTAGCGCTCATTGCCGAAATGTTTGTCCTTTTATAACGTGATGCGATTACCAGCGGCTTTGTGGCATGTGAGGGCAAAATAAAATCCAGTTTTTAACACAACAGTTCTGTATTTTCTATTTATTTACGTTTAAGGACCAATTGTAAACTTACAGACAAAACGAGCCCGTACAAGAGAAAGAAAGATAATCTTGATTTTGAGCTTCTTCGCGCAGATAATGGTAAGCACCTGTTATTCGAAATCCGTGTTAATTAATTAAAAATCGCGGAAATTTTTTTTAGGCAGGAATTTAAAAGCAAATATATACTAGACGGGTAGCTTAGACATTATTAAAAATTTTCCTAACTTTTAAAATCTGAAAAGAAACAAAATTTAAATTAAAAATTATCGTTTTTGACAGGGAGTTTTCTTGAAGATAGTCAATGCAAAACAGTATACATGCTACGCAAAAGATTTTGACAAAAATGTGGATTATATGAACCTACAAAAAATGTCTGTATGGTTCAGTTAAGGAAGGTTTCAAACAATAAATTTATCGACAGTCACCTTTGGTTTATTTTCTTGCATAGTACTACTTCTTGCACGGGTAGGTTGTAATTATTTCTAGTTTTTAGCTTGTCACGTTCATTGTTCCGCTTCATGGCCAGAAATGACGGACATTGTGCAAGCGTACCTGTCGGTCAGCAGCTTTTCCGTTTATCCACAAGAATTCCTAATTATCCTTTTACGCCCTGTCAAAGCATCCGTAATTTTAAATATTCGCGTGGGTGTTGTCTATAAAGCAACGCATGGAGTATTCACTCAAGTTGTGTCCTTTAGTGTACCAGGCGCAGCGTGTAGCTAAACAACAACTACTGAAATGAAAAGAGAAGCTTTTGACGAGTATTTTGGTACCAAATATGTAGCAAGGCAATCAATAGTTCGAGTTTAGAAAGCGAATGAAATATAACTTTTTGACCGCGAAGTAATATATATGATATGCATATTAACGCACCGAATTTTTAATTTCAAAACAAAAAAGCAGAGCTTTTATCGGGTGTAACAAAATAATAAACGGCGGAAGGCAAGGCTATACTATCCGTCAAAATAAAATGATTTCAACAAATTTCGATAATTGAATATATTACGAGATTTTGCCGTTTAAGCGAGAAACCTTCATAGATTCCTATGTAAAGTGAGGTAAAATGTTTTAATATTCAATCGCAAAAAGCAGAGCGACTATACAAAGTAATGAGAACATTTTTTCTTAATGTGTTACTATGCGACCGCTACTTCTTGAACCAATTTCAACAAATATTCTAAGATTTATGTATAGCATGCTATATTGAAAATACTCCGCTCGCCTGATAATAAACATAGGGTATTGCGCAGCCATTGTTGCGTGGATGCGCGTGGTAACATGAAACCTGAGAAATGCAAATGTCCGTGATTTCTGGCCATGTTATTTTTACAGAAAATGTAAAACATCGAAGTCGCTCCTTGTCGCTTCAATTTTAGTTTTTGAGAATCTTCAGAATACCTAACACCATGCTCGGAAAATCTCAACGCATGCGCAGACGTTTTTCCACGGTTTTGCCCCCGCCATTTATAAAACCTTGCTCAGAAGTTTAATTATTTCCCCATAGTTATGACATGTTAACAGACTGACAGACACAAGTTGAAATCTCGTCGAAAGTCGAGAAGAATCTGGAAAAACTCTAGCACGTCACGAATAGTGTGCTGCTTCGCTAACGCCCGTCAGCAATTATGAAAATATAATGTATAAATTGATCATCAGACTGAGCAGCAAGGCCGTCGAGAAGATGTTTAAGCACAGGGTACGAGTCGTCAAAGATGCGGGCGTATACAGTAACGTTTGTAAATCCGTTTCTCTGAAATAGAAGTTTTAATTTATAAGGATATAATTATGAAGAGTATATAATTATGCATACTGAATACTGCTTACAGTTGTTACTAAAAGGTAGGTAAAGAATTACACACATTACCATGCTGAGGAAGTCTACTGTATACCATGTCAAAGAAAACACGAATTTTGAATTCCGAGGTATGTTCCTGTCTATTATTGTTTTTCTATATAGAGAGCAATTTATTTATATCAAAATTTATTTTTATCAATCTCACGATATGGAGTTTAAATAAAGAAATTTAGTAAATTTCTTTTGCCTCCATGTGCATTGGACTATGGTATAATCAAAGCTACCCATAATTATAAAAAAAAACTCAAGATGAACAGCCCATAGCAAATTCTTTAAACTCGATATTTAATCTTGTCCAAACGGTCTGACCACTCGAAATAACAAGGCAGGATCTGCTTCTGAAGTCGTATTAGGAGGACCTGGGACTGGTTTATTCCAAACTTTCAGTTGCATGTTCCCAGCTCCATTACTGCTCAGATAAAGATATTCATTGCCACTCATTTTATTGGATCGAAGTACAACATACGGTTTGTTTGGTGTCCATAATTCCATCACTTCAAACGATGTATTGGTAACCTGTAAGCCAAAGTCAAGGAAATAATAAATTTGTTAGTCAAATTTTCAAAATGATCAAGATGAAAAGATCATGACGGCGCTTGAGCTAAAATAATCATTGGGTTATTGACAATTATTGCCTGTTTTCAAGGCTCTTCGTACCGTCCATTATATTTGATTGGTAAAAGTTTGAACTCTATAACCACGAGTTTACGCGGAAACTTCGCTCATGTTACTGTCTAGAACTGCCACTGAGTTAAATTAAATCAGTGTCTTAACCATTTCAGCACTTACCATCCAAGAATTTAATTAAAATAGTTACCGAAATGAAGAGTAACTTTCAACCTCGTAAGAGCCTGGGTACGAGGTTGTGTAAATTTCAGAGAGTAAAACTGGAAAATCAAAGTCCATCATATGTGGGCGGTACGAATATAAGAAGAGTCATTTAGAAGAAAATTTCGATTCAGTTATATTATTCAGTTATATGAACGTAACAACATGGTCTTGCGTGCTCAAATTCCTGCTGCCAGCCATTTTATAGGTGGAGTTGATCAACAGATTTGAAAACGATTTTGCACTCCGTGCATATTTAAATGCCTTGCTTCTATTATGTGATTCTTATTGGAAATGTACCAAACAAGGCACTTTTATCGTTATTTGTTATAGACAACATTTTACCTCAAAAAAGTGAGTGGCGATGGCATTTTATGTTACAAAGAAACAACGCACACATTTAATCTGGATGTGTCCACTCAATTTGGAGGGGAGAGTTGTTGTTTTTCATATGTCTTGTTGGAATGTTATTATAACGACATTTCGATGGATGGTAGATTTCTGTAAAATGCCGTATTGGAAATTACAATTTTATAATATTAACTATTTAATTAATGAACACGTGTTTCGGGTTATCTTAATTGCTATAACCCAACAATGAACGTGAGTTTGGAGGTAGATGCGGTGAAGATGTGTTTCCACTTTCCAAACAAATTATTTTCTGCCAGATTTTTTCACAAAATTTCCTTTCAAAAATCCCTAAATTTCCATTTTCCCTTTCAAATTTTTATCAAAATTAACGAATTTACCCTGCAATCATAAATGTCCAGACTGTAGCGGAAAAAACACATTATATTAATTTTTAGGAAATAGAACTGTATTTTGCAGGTTCAATTCTGCTTAGAGCCACATGCAAGGAAACTTCAGAAACTGTGGTACGATTTGGCGTAGAGTGTGTTCCAAGGCCAGGGACAAGGTAATGTATACGTAAATTTATACTAGAATATTGTTAAAAGATAACTAACATGGGGGCTTGAGTGAACTTCCAGTCTAGTCAACTGACCTACGCGGAGTGGTCGGTTCGAGCATGTGATATTTCGGAACAGAATCTAGTTCCTTCGATATCAATGTTATCTAATAATAATCATGATTTTTCTGTGTTGGTGTAATGTACTCAGGTGAATATGATGCTTGTGATGTTACTCTGAGTGCATATCCACACCGGGCAAGCTTGAAAAATATGCCTGGTAACGGTGGGAATCGAAGCTACAACCTTTGGAATACTAGCCCAATGCTCTAATATACACTCAGAGTAACATCACAAGCATCATATTCACCTGAGTACATTACAACAACACAGAAAAATCATGATTATTAATAGATAACATTGATATCGAAGGAACTAGATTCTGTTCCGAAATATCACATACTCGAACCGACCAGACCGCGTAGCTCAGTTAGCAGAGCATTGGGCTAGTATTCCAAAGGTCATAGGTTCGATTCCCACCGTGGTCAGGAATATTTTTCAAAATTGTCGTGTTATCATGACAACTACTTCAAATACTTTACCTTTGGGAAATAATTATAATGCTTTTGCCAGCGAGGCGAGGGCAAAATCATTTTGAACGGTTGACTACCACTCTAAGCGTTCAAAAGAAGCACCCTCGGACGATTATATTATGCATGTTTTATGCTCCGGCGGACCAGATATTAAGGCTCCCTACAGTTTTGATTATACAACACACAACTGTATTCAAAACCCATTATTTCATCATCTTGTAAAGTATGATCACGAAACTTGGCCACATAACTGCTACAATCTCGTAAATTCCGAAAATTAAAAAATGTCGTTCCGAATCCCCGTTGCCATGGTAACAAAGCGATTCTAGAAAGGGCCAATTTGCAGATTCTTTGATAATTTTTTGAAAATTTAAAGGGTAAAAATTTTTAAATTTTTTACGCAGTAATCTAATCCATATTTTTTCAAATGATAGCATTTAAAAAAAAATCGTACGAGAATTTTTTTTTTAATTCTCAAAAAGCCCTGTTTTGGGAATAAAAATAATTCGGCTCGTACAATTTTCTTAAAACTTGCACATTTAAGCACTTCAAGTTTACAGGAAAGTGTGTGAAGTTTTAAAAAATTTTACTGAAGGAAACACGAGAAACCATGTGACGTCACAAAAATCAGGATTTAAATTTCCTCGCGCGACCAGCGACAATCCCACGAAGGCTCGCGCGTGTATATCACGACGCAATTTAAAAAAAAGAACCAACAGGTGAAACGTCACCACGCGTGTTTCATGTAGCCCTACTAATCTCGCACCTGGACAGACCTAAAACTGTAGAGAGCCACCTTAAAATAAAAAGATTCAGGCATGTTAATAAATTTTAGTGGTTTTGCACAAGTGAATAACAAATCGTGCAAGTTCATTCGTCAAATTCGACGTATTAATCTGTTATATTCACCTATAGGTGAATATAACAAACCAAAATTTACAAAATGGCGGCTGGCCGTTTTGTGGAAGTTACTGAAAAAGAATTAATCGAAATTAAAATAAATTCAGTCCCAAGAAACACAAAAGACTTGTGTAATACCACTAAAACAATTATTCGCATCAGGCTCGGTGATTATCGGGGATTTCGTCCCGGTGAATTTTCCTCGATAATCATCTCGCCTTCGGCGAGTAATTGTTAAATATGTAATAAAGATGATACAATAGATTGTATATAAAGTAATGATGAAAAACCACTTCAGAATACTATATAATTATACTTATGCGATGTCCGGCCATGCGCGGCATACCTCTGCAGATGCTGTCACACTGTTTTCTGATGCGTTAACGGCATACCAAGTCGTGCCTTTGTTAAACTTCATTTGAAACGTTGGCTGAAAATTGTTACTATTTGGTGCTAAGTCAAACCTGATGTCTGTTGTAGCTAAAAATATAAATTAAAAAAATATCATGTGGTGTTTTGTTCTCTGAATATACGTCAAACTACATCGATTGCATGGTGTTTGTTGCTCTCCCCAATTTTGTTTTTTGCCATTACGGTAGAATTCCCACTAATACATAGTTCCCAAAGACATTGCTCGATACTTTTATTATTCTCCTTCGCAGACGTTCTCATGGCTCCGACCTCTAGCTCTTCATCCCTCGCCAACGAATGTTTGGTGAACCGAGCAGCATAATCGCGTTCCCTTTATTTGAGGTGCCAAATAATTGCAGTGATTCATGGAGGAAACGCCAACAAGAATGGTCTTTTTGTAGATAGAAATTAATTTCGTGAGGTAGATTATATACAATTGTAGACCTAACAAGAAGCAGCTGGGAAAACGGAACTACAAGGTGTATAAAAAAAAAACTGAACAGATTTGAAATTGCTCTCAATTTCGCCAAACAGCCACTAGTATCCAGATTTTGATGCATATAGTTTCTTTCAGTACTTATAATGTAGAATAATGAACAAAATTGCTCGAATTTTGTGAACCGGGGGGGGGGGGGTTGTGTCATTTCCAACAAACTAAAAATGGCTTGCGCACGAAATTTAAAGCTTTAATCGTATTTTGAGTTAATGGATGGAACATTTGTTGGGTTTTTAATTACTGTACAATATTTCAGACAATTTGCTTTAGTTTAAGCCCTTTAACTATCCATTTTTTCCAAAAAAAATCAGCCTTTCGCATGCTTAATTAATGCTTTTACACTGATAATTTGCATATCGCTAACATATGCAAATTAGGCAAATGCATTAACTGAGCATGCAAATGCTGATTTTTTGGAAAGAATGTAAGTTTGCGTGGATAGTTAAAGGCTTAAAATCTAGGGGTTGCCGCAAGTTGCTCGGCAACTTTTTGGCAACTTTTCATTTTATGAATAACTTTTGTTTTAAACGGCAACTTTTGTAACTTCCAGCAACTTTTCATGAATTTGACTCAAATTCATGAAAAGTTGCTCGAAGTTACAACATTTGTCGTTTAAAACAAAAGTTATTGATAAAATGAAAAGTTGCCAAAACGTTTTCGAACAACTTGTGAAAACCCCTAACTGAATTAAACTGAAGTAAATTGTCTGCAATTTCGTGCAGCAATTAAACACCGAACATATTTTTCACCCATTAACTAAAAATACGATTATAGCTTATAAATCTCGTGCACATGCAAGCCATTTTTATTTTGTCTGAAAAGACACCCCTCCCCCTGGTTTACAAAATTTGTGTTCGGCAAATTTGTTTCACTATTCTACATTATAATCACCCATATATATATATATATATATATATATATATATATATATATATATATATATATATATATATATATATATATATATATATATATATATATATATATATATATA